AAAGGGAAATTCAAGGGCACATACAGTCTCCCCAGTCTCAAGGTCCTGTTTAATTGTAAGTCTCATGTAAACATTTTAAAGTGTATTACGTAAGGAAAAATAGACAGGGTAATTCACAAATTACTACAGTTTTATCTCAATATGTCAGAAACTAGGCGTAGTCCGTTTATACTAGCCGAGCCAAAAGAATATATACTTCGGCTACGCTGGACAACGGACTCGCTCTTATACAAATCACTGCTAGCAAGCGGCTGAGAAGGAGTTATTTGTCCAACTCCCATTTCAAGGGGTTCAAGCAAGCAAAATTTTACATCTTCGCTTGAGGTTTCTCATCACGCGAATATACCCAGTGGCAAAGATAAGACATGCGTTCTAAAGCAATCCACTTCTTCGCCTTGGAAGCAAGGATACCCCATCTTTCTGGCCTGTGCATTTATGCCATCACCTGCTCCCTTGGAAACGCTATCCTTTTCGGACACCTAGGCACCTCAAGGATATAAACCTTCTACTATTATGTTGCACCCAATACGAATTTTAGTAATTTATTCCAAGAGCTTACCTCAATCCGTTCTCGACACTTTGCCACAATACGCGTTTTACCAATCTCTGCCTCAAAATGGTAAATAGCAGCATCCGCGTCAATTGGAAAGACGAACTGTGTCTCAACCAAATCCTTGGAGTCATTTTTGTAGACGAGTTTACAAGTAACATCAGCCACCAGGTTGTGCACGTCGGCATGAACGGATATCTCTTTAAGCGGGACATCCTTCAGGGCAATGCCATTTGTGTCGAACAATCCAGCGCCAAAACCTTGGAAAAAGAGTAAACGAAATGATTTCTTACAATTTCGCCGAAACATATGTCGCGCACGTTTCCTATGAGCACTACTTGGGTCAAACTCTATGAAACACTTTTATTTACAAGCCTGCAGAAGCGTCCAACGCAACACTGACAGCGGCTCTGCACTGACATTGCCTGCTTGCAGCAGCCTCTGAAAGTTAATCAGCCAATCACGGCCCTGCCAACCGACGTGTTCATACAAGCACGTAAGAGTCAACAAACGGCGCACGCGCTCACGTGACCTGTGCGTGTGGCGTATGAATCATGCATGCCTGAACGCAGGGTAGGTGGGCTGAATAAGCCCGCCACACCAGTGAAAGAAGTCACAGGAGAGAACAGTTTTTGCGCATAGCGACTAAGTCTGATTGAGGGCTTGCAAGTGCTTACTCGTTCATTCTAATGGATTGCCATTAACCGAATTTACATTTTTTGATTGGAAAAAATTTCCTTAGCAGTTTTAATTAGCTGCACTTCGATTAATGTATTAAAATTTATCGCGTACTGATCCGAATAGGCGATTTCTGTACGTTTTCAACTATTAAGTAAAAGCAGTTATTTGAATTTGCCATTTCAAGTATTCTAAACTGATTGATTTGGAATGCGGCTTGGACAGTCAGCTTACTTTATTGAGATTGATATAATCGATGCGCTGTCATAGACTCGGTGGGTAGTTTGACCGATATGTGGTAAGCTCCTAAAGCTCTTTTGGGGTACTGCAGCTCAGGTGCTTAGAGCGTTGGCTCTACTGTTGTGGGTTGCATCCCAGCCGATGCTACCACGCTTTTCGCTATCGAGTAAGCTTACGTTATATGCAATTGTTCACCCCGTTCTCTGGAACGTTTTCGGCTGAAATGTCTGTGTTAGTTTTGATAACACTCGCATCCTCACTCGTCAAGTGGAATGACGTAGTGTTTGCGCTGAACTTTAACTTATTATTACAATAGGTTAAAATCTGCAAAAACGTCACCGGAATTGTCCGTCTCAGCAAAACCTAAAATTAGAGAAAGTCGTAGTTTTCCAAAATAACTACGAAGATTCCTAGAGGAACAACAGGGATGAACTAGGCACGATAGATATAGCGGCGAAAAACGTCACATGAACTTTACACGGCAGAGGTGTACGACATTAGAGTCATCCTTTGAAATGGGACACTCAGATCTGAGATGGTAGGAGCAGGTGTACCATTTTTGTGGATCTTCGGTAAGGCGTATAATTGTGGTGTATGCATGCGCACGAGTCGAAGACGCCATAAGTCATGCTGGCTTATGAACTCGTCCTTTTAAAGTTTTTTTTTTCAGACAGTCAGTCAGTTGTGTTTCGAACACATACGCATAATTATTCTCCTTTTTTGTCCTGATAAACTTTCATTTGCCCACAAAATGGATTTTGTTTTCCACATATAATATGTTCTGCGCATTAAAACAACGCCAGTTCCCTTATCTGACCTCACTATTAGGATATATTTATTTTGCTGGTGATATTTTAGCCTTTCCTTGCATGACTTTGTCAGCAAACCTCGATATTTCTGAGCAGTGAGCCAACTTAGAATTAAACTGCCGCGCACTCTACTTTTCTCTCCCGAAACTGGTTGAAGGTCATGCGTTATATTCATGAGGTTATCGGATTCTGTTTCC